GGGGCGCACTCGATCGAGTCGAAGGCTTTCTAAGGGCGCCTCAGGCAGCCACCTTATGACTCCTGTCGGTTAACAGTGCAGGGTCAGTTATAGGAGCTAGTCCCAACCCAGCGTTGACTGACTCTTTTCACATAAGTATCACGAGTCCACAGCTACAATCAAACCCACGATCTCAGAGATGAAGACTTTAGCGGAGATAAGCCCCGTAGCAACACAAATACAACAACATTGAACTTACATAATTTCTAGTATATAGTTATTTTGTGTTTGATTATTTAGGGTAAAAAATATCAGTCTAGAAATAGTGCTTGTGTGACTGAGGTGAGTTGTTTTTGTTTGCATTTCGCCTAAACACATCAAAGAGCATGCAACCATATCGTCATAACGACTACAAGATACTTGTCCGCTTGCCCGGCGCAAGTGAATATCATGACGGGCAAGTAATTGTTTTATCTTGCTTGCCTTGCCACAAAAAGCTGGGCATCTTTAAGTTTATGTTTTCATTGTCGAATAAATTTTTTATAGTGCATGTACTTGATCATTTGTTTTTTGTGGGCCAAAGATCTGAGGCAGTATAACATAGCCATATAGAGCAGTGGGAGAAGGGGTCGACATGTTTTCTCCTTAATTTATACCCCCTACCTAGGTACCCCAGTGGCCATTGTCTGATGGCAAGTAAATTTTATTCCGGGCAACTAATATTCGTGTCCAACTTGAAGTGGTCAAAAAAGTAAAGTTACACTACTGGACTAAAGCCGGTTATAGACGAGTAAGATTTCTATGACAAGTTTTATTCGTCTGTATAGGCGACTTTGTCAATTTTACTATGACAAGTACATTTGTTCAAAAGCTAGAAAAAATTTGCAAATTTTCTTCGTCTGTATGGGTCATCAAAGAAAATTTTGCAAAGTAACCTGAGCACTTGCACCAAAGACTTGTCATAGAAAACTTGCTCATAGGATATTTCCTTCATTTTCCAACATTATCAACCAATCTTTGCAGTTTTACTCATTCTAAGACGCTCTTTCTAGCTGTGGTGTTGGATTTCGTTCTTCTTGCATTGATCAAAATTTAGTCTAAATAGTTGAAATCCCCCATTTTGGAACCATCTCGTAAACTACCTCTCGTGCATCCCTTTTAGATATATTATTACCGTATCTTAACGGACTTAACCTCTCTATTGCAATATTTCAGAATGCTGTTCAAGATGATGTGTCGTATTCAGAAGCTACAAAGACTGGGGTAGAATTTACCTGTGTTGATGAAATCACGGATGAGGAAGCGGGCTCAATTGTAAGTGATCATGCATGTAATGTAGATGCTGCATTCATTATGGACTGCACGAAATTAGTCTTTCCTACACTCGGCTTATTAACCGCCATTTTTTTGGGCTACTTTGCACGTAAAAACGCACAAGTTGTAACAAACCTGCAGCAGACTTGCAGCAATGCTGTTCCAACAACTTGTCAACAGGATATGTTCGCACTGCTTGTCCCCAGCAGTGAAAACAAGCAGTTTTTTTGTTGTTGACAAGTTGTCAACGGCTTGTTGACAACTTGCTACATACAAGGTTGTTGATTCAACAGACTTGTTACAAGTTGTTCCAACGACTTGGTATCGTCCTGTTATTCATCAACAACTTGATCAACAACTTGATAACATTAAGTTGTGAGTGACAAACTTGTGGAAACTTGATAAAATAATTTGTTGACAAACTTGATTTGTTGACAAGTTGTGAAATTTTTACATGTGTATTGCCCAGAAATGTTCTGGGATCTACATTTTTGCAGACATTATTGAAATAATTAAATACCTAATTTAAAATCTAGTAACTCTATTCCTAAATTACAGCGGAACGGCATAAAAAAAATTCATATGGCCTGCAGTGGGAAATTTGTTTTTGATTTTGTAAGACTGTAACCACTGTGACTACTTCAGGATTTATCATGTATTAGAATGTTAGGGTTTGTAATCCAAGTGAGAATATATACATTTTAAGACCTAACCAGGAACGATTGCGAAAAATGCAGCACAAGGTCCTCTGGTAGGAATTGAACCTACGGCCCTGCGATTCCGGTGCAGCGCTCTAAGACATATTTCAGTCTTCAAGACATATTATAGCAACACTATAAGACAGTCACAATTAAACGACAATTTTGTTATTTTTCCCTATTTATTGTAATCTTTCACAGAAAATGTTCGGCCTTAAACCCAAGTTCCCTACCTCGGATCAAGGGGGTTAATTTCTTGTTTCTTAGACACAGCTGGCCAGTAGAAATTCGTCAAATTCCTAGAAACAAAAAACAGCATTTTCCACTTTTGCACCTAACAACAATTCCGTACATTTTCAATCATATTAGGAGCATTAACAAATAACACAGCATCTCACAAATAACACTTCTCATAAATTTCTCTTTATTTCGTCCATGCTAAAGGCATTTTTGCCATGATAACTTATACACGCGTAAGAATCCGTCAACAAGTTGTGTTCGCACTGCTTGTCCCAAATTGTCAACAAGTTCGGAACAAGATGTCCAAAATAACGCCATGAACAAGTCCAATAATGTCATGATATAACATTATTGTTACAAATTTACAACCTTGTATCGTCGAACTTGTGACATTCTTGTTATATCGTGACTGTATCAGAATTGTTAGAACAATCTTGTAACAAGTCTGATAATGTCATCAAGCTTGTTACAAATTGTTAACAGCTTCTTCCTAACTTTTACAACAATTAGGAATAAGCCGCCAGTGCGAACACAACAACTTGTTGACAGCTTGTGAACAGTTTTGTGACGACTTGTTTGCAGTCCTGTAACGACTTGTGCGTTTTTACATATGTACTGTACTTCCTTGACAGCTGTGGATTGTGTACACACGTAAAAACACACAAGTTGTTACAAGTCAAGTTGTTTCAAATCTGTTCACAAGCTGTCGACAAGTTGTGTTCGCACTGCTTGTTCCCAGTTGTTGTAACAAGTTTGTTTGTTGGAACAAGCTGTTAACAAGTTTTAACAAGTTTAATGACATTATCAGACTTGATATTTGTGGTGTTACTCTGAGTGTATATCCACACCGGGCGAGCTTGAAAAATATGCCCGGCCACGGTGGGATTCGAACCTGCGACCTTTGGAATACTAGCCCAATGCTCTTCCAACTGAGCTACGCGGTCAGGACGGTTCGAGTAAGTGATATTTCGGAACAGAATCTAGTTCCTTCGATACCAATGTATTCTAGTAATATGAATTTTTTTCTGTGTTTGAACTAGAATTTTTTTCTGTGTTGAACTAGGAACTAGATTCTGTTCCGAAATATCACTTACTCGAACCGTCCTGACCGCGTAGCTCAGTTGGAAGAGCATTGGGCTAGTATTCCAAAGGTCGCAGGTTCGAATCCCACCGTGGCCGGGCATATTTTTCAAGCTCGCCCGGTGTGGATATACACTCAGAGTAACACCACAAATATCATATTCACCTGAGTACACTACACCAACACAGAAAAAAATATTATCAGACTTGTTACAAGCAAGGGTGGGTTGACTACAAATTTTTTGTAGTTCGCTATAACTACAGCTACTTCAAAAATATGTAGTCAGCTACAACTACTGCTACTTTTGAACAAAGGTAGTTCGCTACTGACTATACAGCTACTGCTTTAAAAATGTAGCGACTATTTCGCTACGCTATATTTTTAGTTTTACTGTATTTGGAGCATCTACTAACTCAGGCTGAAATGTAACCTATAGCAAATCAACTTACGAGTAGCAACAGTAAACACAAAGCAACATTTTTGTAAGCACTACAGTGTTCAAGAGCGCAAATTGACTATTGAGTATTGATTTTAAGCAAACCGTGTCTCAATATCATACTATTCTATCAAGTTGCTAACAATTTTAAAAAGTAGCGAATAGCGATTCGCTGTTTGAAAAGTAGTCGACTACTTGGCTACTTTTAGGCAAAATGTAGTTCGCTATAACTACAGCTACTGTTTTTAAAAAAGTAGTCAAAAACTACTGGCTACTTGAAAATTGTAGTTCGCTACAGTAGCGAACTACAACTACTTCGCTACTACCCACCCTTGGTTACAAGGTTGTTCTAACAAAGTTTGACAGCAAGCCTGCCAACAAGCGTCAACAAGTTGTGTTCGCACTGCTTGTCCCAAGTTGTCCACAAGTTTGGAACAAGCTGTTAACAACTTTCTTTTTTTTTTCTTTTTTTTTTTTTAATTTATTTTCCCATGTACATTACAATTATTAATACATTATTACAAATTAACTATTTGGGCTAGAGACCTACTAGAAACCTTTGCAGGCTTTTGTTTCTAGGCCACTAGTCATGTCCTATTTAGATTATTTTATTATTTACAGTAATTTTTAAGATAATATTAAATGCAGAAGAAAAGTTTTACAAGGTATATACAAGATATTTACAAATTTGAGGTATGAAGGGTAAATACTGTAGTGTTTACAATATTAAGATAAAGAGATATACTAGTTAGATTATTATATGGTATTTTTTTGCACAATGACAATGTATGGACAGACATTGTCTGCATAAAGAAAGTGTGATTTCTGAATCTATGTATTTGTAACTGGATTTAGTATAAAGTGTTGCTTAATTAGTTTCTTGAAGGTATTATAGAAATTTATGTTTTTCAGATTTGTTTCTAATTTGTTCCACACATCAACTCCTTTATTTGAAAGAGTGTGTTTTACATAATTTGTTCTCTTATAACATTTAAAAAGTTTTGATGCGTTTCTCGTATTATGTTGATGAATTTGGTTGTTTGTAACGAAGTACTGAGTTAGTAAAATATTCTGGTAAATTTTTAAGATGATGATATCGAAACATAAATAAAGCAGTTAAATAATTGTTGATTTTAAAAATATCAAGTATATGTAATTCTTTGAATATAGCCTCAGTGTGTTCCAAGTACGACTTAAATGTCATTAGACGTACAATTTTTTTCTGGATATTCATTATTTTATTAATTCGGGTTTTGTATGTGCTACTCCAAATTAAATTGCCATAAATCAGATATGGATAGACTAATGCATAATAAATTAGTTTGATAGCATTTCGATTTAAGAAATGTCTAATTTTAGCTATTATTCCGGATGCTTTCAAGAGTTTTTTTGAAACATTAGTTATATGATCATTCCATGTCAGACATTCATCAATGATGATACCAAGAAATGTTGTACTTTTAACTTGTTCTACATTTACATCATTCATAATAATTTGAATTTCATGTTTTGGTTTTTTGTTAGTAGATCTAAATAAAATGAATTTTGTCTTTTGGATATTTAGAGATCATTTATTGACGTTTAACCATTCTGTAACTTTGTTAATTTCAGTTTGTATGATTACATTAAGCGATTTAAGACAGCTGTTGCTATAAAATATATTAGTGTCGTCAGCAAATAATATGAATGAAAGTAATTTGCTGCACTGTTCAATATCATTTATGTAAAGCAAAAATAGAATTGGTCCAAGAATTGATCCCTGTGGAACCCCACTTCTAATCACCATTTCATTTGTCCTAACTTGATCATATTTCACTATTTGTTTTCTATTTTCCAAATAATCTTTAAACCATAGTTGTGTTATTTCCCGTATACCATAGTGTTCCAGTTTTTGAATCAGAATCTTGTGTTTAATAATGTCAAAGGCCTTTGACAAGTCAAGAAAGATTCCTATAGTGTATTCACCTTTATCGATTGCTTTACTAACTTTGTCAACAAGTTCAATGACTGCATGCTCGGTGGATCTATTTTCTCTAAAACCATACTGACTATGTGTTAATAATTTATTTTTTTCAATGAACTTAATTAATCTCTTATACATTAGTTTTTCTAGTAATTTAGAAAAACAAGAGAGTACAGAAATTGGTCGATAATTTTTGAATTCATTTTTTTGATTTGCTTTGTAAATTGGGGTAACTAGAGCTATTTTTAGGCCATTAGGAATAGTTCCACTAAGGAAAGTCAAGTTGAATATGTGTGACAGGGGTTCAGAAATTTCCTTAGCAATTGTCTTAATAACTTGTGAACTTATACCATCATAGCCTGGACTTTTTTTAGAATTTAAGTTTTGTATTTCATTTTCGATTTCATATTTGGCTACTGGCTCAATAAAAAAATTATTCTTATTCTTATTAGTCAGATATTTATCAAAGGTTATTTCACTGTCTGGAAGTTTTTTTGCTAGACCTGGTCCAATATTTACAAAATACTCGTTGAATTTATTTGCTATTTTGTACGGATCATCAATGATTTCATCTGAAGAGTCTCCGTTGAATTCCTTTGGTAAAATTCTATTGTTTCTATGTTTATTCATAATTTCATTAATTGTTTTCCATAAGCATTTTGTGTTATGCTTGTATTTTATTAGTCGTTCTTCATAATATTTCTTTTTTGCTATTTTTATTACATGATTCAATTTATTTTTATATTTTTTGTATATAATCTCATTTTTTATTAAAGGGCAATTTAGAAATTTCTTATAAAGTTTGTTCTTTTTTTGAACTGATTTTGAAATGCATTTTGTCATCCATGGACTTTTACTTTTGTCAAATTTCCTTTTTGATACTTTTTTTGTTAATGGGAAATTTTTTTCATAGGCTGTAGAGAATTTATTGAGAATTCGTTATAAGACTCAGCAGTATTACTGTTGGAAATTACATCCTCCCATGATGTAGTTTTAATTGAATTACCAAATGATTTAATATTGGAATCATTGATGATCCTTGTAACAAACCTTGTTGATATTATCAGACTTCTTGCAATGTTGTCCCAACAAGTCCACTACAGTCATGATATAACAATATTGTTACAACCTTGTGTCATCAACCTTGTAATGTTGTTATATCATGACTGTATCAGACTTGTTAGAACAACCTTGTAACAGGTCTGATAATGCCATCAAGCTTGTCACAAGTTGTTAACAGCTTGTTCTAGACTTGTTACAAACAACAACTGGGAACAAGCAGTACGAACACAACTTGTCGATAGCTTGTGAACAGATTTGTAATAACTTGTTTGCAAGATGTGAGATTTTTACGCGTGTACACTGTACAGTCTATCAAGGATCCAAAATATCCATGCAAGATGAAGTACAAACCTTGCAATGTGTGAAATTGTGAGTATATCAAATTACATCTGGTTTTCAATGAAATTTCGAAGCCTTGACTGCCTTGTGTTCTCGATAAACGATAGTTTAAGTTAAATACATCTATAATCCTTGAAAATGGCCTCCGTTCAGTGCATTGTGGACTGGCAGTCGACAACGAACACTATCTTAGAAAGAAACCGTCACATGTTTAATAATTCAGACATGAGTGATATCAGCTTTATATGCGATGCTTCAGACAAGACATTCTGCGCACATAAATATGTCTTGGCCACAAGTAGCGCCGTATTTTATGCGATGTTTTATGGCAGCCTTGCCGAGAAAGAATCGATTGTTCGCTTGCCTGATACAAACGAGGAAAGCTTGGAACAATTTTTGAAATTTCTTTACACGGAGGACTGTACATTGACTGCAGACAATGTTTTTGCGATTCTGTATTTGGCAAAGAAATACATTGTGCCTTCGCTCAAAGAGAAATGTGCTAATTTTCTGGTGGAAAATTTAAACCCTGAAAACGTGCTGGACGTCCTCGACCAAGTGACTCGGTTTGATGAAGAAGATTTAAAAAGACATTGTTGGAAAGTTATACAGTCCCATACCAGCAAAGTGGTGGCCTCTGATAATTTCAATAACATCAGTCAAGGGACCTTGACAAAATTACTGATGCATGACAATCTGAATGTACCAGAAGTGGAACTGTTCCATGCTGTTTTAAAATGGATTGATTTCCAATGTTCATGCAAGAACTTGGAACCAACAAGCAAGAACAGAAGGTCTGTTATTGGCAAGGCAATCTATGGGTTGCGATTTTTTAGCATGAGTCATAAAAAGTTTGTCAAGCATGTTGCTAAATCTGGCTTGCTAACTTCGGATGAGTTAGTTCCAATTTACGAGAAATTTCTTGTTGGAGTTGATTCGCCTGCACTGAAATGGAAGTTGCCGAATAGGAAACCAGCAAACATGGTGAGGGTTTCCAGATTTTCTGGAAATGTTGACGATATGCTAAACGGAAGGGAATGCTATAATTCCCTTACCGGTTACTTCGTTTTTTCAGTGGATAAAGAGGTATTATTTCTTGGTGTTCGTTTGTTTGCAAAATATGATGACATTCAGCATCTGGTCAGACTGGAAGTCGTTGAAAATACCATAGTGGTGAGTGGAATGTATGTATCTGAACCTGATGAAGATGACATTTCTGGTTTTGATGTAATGTTCAAGAAACCCATTATGGTGAAGCGAAATGATGATGTAACAATATTTGCGGATATTCGTGGGCCATGTAAGTTTTATGGCACAAATGCATTTTCTACTGTTACAAATCAAGGAATCACTGTAACAGTTGATTGTCCGTCTGGGCCTCAGCCATATTTTCCCGAGAGCATAATGTTGGGGCAGCAATTCCATGAATTAATACTTTCGATTCTTTGTTAATGTTTTTAAAAAGTATTAACAGTTTTGTAATACTGTCCAACCTGTGAACAGTGTTGTTGACAATGCGTTATATGAGAATAATATTACAGCGTTGTTTAATAACTTTTGTTAATTTACTGTTAATTAAATTGGCTGCTGGTTGATCATAAATTCATAATGTTTACCTCCAGGGTGGATTATAACGATTCCTCAAACCAATTTTCAAATCATCAAAAATCAAAATCATCACCAATTGACCATTTGCGTAATAGACTAAATTTTGAACTAAACAAGTCTAAACAAAAATTTCATCACAGCTTGAAGGAGCATCACAAAATTAGTAATATTCCAAAGTTTCGTTGCAAAATGTTGTAAAATGAGGAAAATATAGCCTTGCGAAATTTGCAATTTTCAGTCATTTTAGATTACAAACGGGAAATTGACAGCCCCAAACCCTTCGAGGCTGTCAATTTCCGGTTTTTAATCTAAAATGACTGAAAATTGCAAATTTCGCAAGGCTATATTTTCCGCATTTTACAACATTTTGCAACGAAACTTTGGAATATTACTAATTTTGTGATGCTCTTTCAAGCTGTAATGAAATTTTTGTTGAGATCAAAATTTTGTCTATTACGCAAATGGTCAATTTTCGTTCTTTATAAAATATGCAGTTTTCATTTACGTTAAGTACTGTTCACACAGAATTCAAGAGAAAGAACACAAAACATCTTGGCTTTGCTGTGACAGGCAAGAAAAGTTTATGGTGCCAAGTTTACGTACCAGACATGCAGAAAACTAGGCACCACATCCACAAACTTTTCGGTTGCATGCACCATTGGGACTGCTTACCAAAATTTACGTATGGTTGGTCATGCGGGAAGTGATCAGCTCTGAACCAATCAATGTGTATATTGAAAAGCTGGCAACCATTATATTAGACAATGTCCAAGCAACTGCGCACTTGAGCGGACATTTGTCAGAGTCAATTGAAATTGTTATAATCGACACTGTTTACCTCGGTTGTCAAAGTAAAGTTGAGTAAAGACTTGTTTACACTTGAAATATTTGCTGCTGCAATTTTCTTTTGATTGATGTAAATGAGTGGATGAGTTACAAATGTTCACACGAGGGTACATATACTTAGAGCATTCATAACTCATATCTATTCTGTCACATGCATCAAAATTAATTAAAGAAGAAAATTGTTCTGGAAATTGCAGCAAAAATTGCAAGTGTAAAACGAGGCCTTAATATGTACATAATATGCAGGGCTCGAACTAGAGAAAACATATGGCCTGTCAGTCTAAAAATTTTTGGCAGGTGAAATAAATTTAGCATACCATCTTTATTCATTGAAATTCCCAAATTTTTATGAGTCATATTTGGAAAAATCAATGTTTTCATGATATGTATTTTTATTTTACTACAGTAAACTTGGATTTACATTTCAAATATAAATGTATTTAGTCAACTAAATGATCTAGTATATATGAGTTGTGGTAAACAAATGAAATGAAATATGTCTATAGAATTTCACCTGCCATTTCTTTTTGACTAACTGGCAGTTCAAATTTGTTTTTGCCTGCCATTTCTAAAATATGGCCTCCTTTTGGCCATTGGCAGCCAGCTATTTCGAGCCCTGATAATATGTTGCCTTGTTGGTGAAAATCAATCACAATGGCGTTGAGTGCAAACGAAACTATTAATGTTCAAATTTTGGGTGTGTCGATACACATAATCACCATTTTCACAAAAGCTGTAAATATAACTTATAAGCATTTATTTTAGATTTGAGAAATTTTATGTAATTGATAGTTTCTTGACAAACTGTTGGATCTTAACAAACTGTTGTAATACATTGTCCAGCTTTCACGTATTCCCCTGAGTGATTGGCTTGGTTCCAAAATAGAGTTAATGGAATGAAGCACAAGATTGATGTTTAGGGACTGGTCATAAAGTAATTACTAGAGGGGGGTGAAGGATAAATGAAATTTCAAGTACATATTTCCATACCCTCCCAAAAACCTATGGAAAAATTTTCGTAACCCCCTTCAATGTAAGTGAAAATTTTCATACCCCCCGTTCTATCATTAATTCTGTTTTGACATTTGTCTTG